AGAAAACCCTAACAGAGTCAGGAAAGGCCATGAAGAGAGGGTTCTCATGCTTGTATGACCAATAACAAAAAAAATCTCAAAATACTACAAAAATCACAATTTTATACAAGGGCCATCACAACCCAATACATAAAAGTACTTCTGCAAGAAAATCTGCCCAACAACCGCCTGTCCGACCTTGGACTGGTATCACCCTTGTTATTGATCTTTGTAGCCAGACAATTATTTCAAAACAAATATATAATTTGCCCCATTTTTTCCTTGAAAAAGCTTTTGTCCTCCTTTACTTCCCTAAATAGGCACCTAGTCTGCTATGACATGAGTATTCCCATTACAATACTCTATTCCCAAATAAACATCTTTTCTTTTAAAGAGCTTTCTCTCTGTTTGCTGTTTAGGTTAACAAAGTAATGATAGATTCATGAGAAGTTGCACAGATAGAAAAGAGGGATCTGGTGTATTCTTCAACCAGTTTTCAACAACAGTTACACCTTACGTAACTACAGTGCAATATAAAAACTTGGAAATTGGCATTAGAACAATGCGTGTATGTAGTTCTATTCCATTTGATCACATGTGTAGATTCATTGTAATCATCACTGAAATCCAAATGCAGAAATACAGTAACTAAGTGCAATTATGTGTAATGAAACCAGTTTGACCACAGGCTAACTGATATAAACAAGAGTCAAGTTTCTATGGCATATTTCTGGTCATAACATCACCGAACTTTTAAATATAGATCTCAAACACTTCTAATATTAAATATTTGAAATAAATGCGAGACATCCCTACATTTTAAAAGATTCATAAAAACAAGATAATTATTTGCCAAATTTTCGATGAATCAGTGAGTGACAGTGGTCACAGTGGTAGTGGATTAAATGAATAAATAAATGTTGGCAAAGTGCACATTGTTAGGAGCATCTCCTCCCACCACTCAGTTCAGAAACAAACAATAACACATGTGGCAGGCTCACTGATCACTTTCTTACCATGTCATGTATGGTCAGGTATTTGTAAGATTACTGTAGGCTTTACAAATTTTTATTTTACCATAATTTGTACTCATTCATTCATTCATTTTCCATCCTACTCATTTAGGGTTCCAGAGGGCCAGAGCCTATCCCTGCAGCTCAGGGTGCAAGGCAGTAACCTACCCTGGCCAGGATGCCATTCCATCACGGGGTACACTCACCCACACCTCCACGCTCACTGAAACAACATAGGCCAATGAACCTAACGTGCACAGCTTTCAGATGTGGGAGGGAACTGGAGTATTCAGAGAAAACCCACCCATGCAGATATGGGAGGAACATGCAAACTCCACACAGAATGTGGCCCTGGCAGAAAATCAATTTCTTTCCTCATGGATATTAAAAGGAAACATTGTTGAATGAAACAACATTATGCAAGGGCCTGCTGTGTTCCATCACCGGAAAGATCTTCCTAGTGCTAAGCATTTACATTTACACCCATCCTCCTCCTCTCTACTTAATCTATTTTTAACTATTTAAAGAATGTGCTACTGCAGATGGTATTTTCCTGTTGTGACCTATACCTAAAAACTTCAAGACCAGTTGTGTCATTTTCGTGGCAAAGAAATCCCTGACAACTTGTCAGACCTCTGTTTTGAGCCTAAGCTCACAACTACCAGTTTGCTTTACTGCCATAAAAAAATCTGAGCTATATCAGGGCCTTTCTAGGGATATTTAACATTCAAATATGTTTTAGTTAATTTATTCTATTCTTGTCCTTATTGAAGCATAGATTTTTTTTTAAATACCCTTAGTAAGCGATTGTTTAAAATGCCTCCTCCAGAGGATGTGGAGAAATAGGAACACTTCTACACTGCTGGTGGGAGTGTTAATTAGTTCAATCATTGTGGAAGACAGTGTGGCGATTCCTCAAGGCCTTAGAAATAGAAATTCCATTTGACCCAGCAATTCCATTACTGGGTATATATCCAAAGGACTATAAATCGGTCTACTATAAGGACACATGCACAAAAATGTTCATTGCAGCACTGTTTACAATAGCAAAGACCTGGAACCAACCCAAATGCCCATCGATGATAGACTGGACTGGGAAAATGTGGCACATATACACCATGGAATATTATGCAGCAATCAAAAATGATGAGTTCGTGTCCTTTGTAGGGATGTGGATGAATCTGGAGAACATCATTCTCAGCAAACTGACACGAGAACAGAAAATGAAATGCCGCATATTCTCACTCACAGGCAGGTGATGAACAATGAGAACACATGGACACAGGGAAGGGAGCACTACACACTGGGATCTATTGGGGGGAATAGGGGAGGGACAGCGGGGGGCGGGGAGCTGGGGAGGGATAGCATGGGGAGAAATGCCAAATGTGGGTGAAGGGGAGGAAGGCAGCAGAACACACTGCCATGTGTGTACCTATGCAACTATCTTGCATGTTCTGCACATGTACCCCAAAACCTAAAATGCAATAAAAAATGCCTCCTCCAATGATCTAGTTATATGCTTAATAAGACAATGAAATCTAGATCTAAGGCTCTGAGGAATAACATTTGATAACTTTCTATCTCCAACTTGCAAACGAGCTATGGGTCATAAGTGTTTAAAATGCAAATCCTCTCATTACAATGGAAACATTCCCACTGTGTTACCTCTTCCAATCTGCATCATTGTTCTTCTCCTACCCACCATCCTTCTCTTTTTCCAGCTACTCTTCCTATAAGATTTCTTTTCCCCACCTATCTACAATAACTTCCTCCCCACAAAGACACTGAAGTCAATTCTACCTGCAGAGGATTAGCTAGCTATCACAAAAATTTCAAGAACATGAATATGTAATATATTTTTTCCAACAACATTGGAATTCATCTATATATAGAGTTTTGTCACCTGCTTTTTTTCACTCCACATATGAGCATTTTCCCATGCCATTAAACATTTCATTACTTTTTTTTTTTTTTGCTTTTGCAACTGGCATATATACCTTTGCAAATAAACATTTCATTATTCTTAAGGCCCAAATAAGGAGAATTGTGGCAAAAGAGTAGATTGAGCTGATATGAATATATACTTTATGCTTAAAAACATCTAGGAATGTTGGATAAAATATAATACCTAACCCAGCCAACTTTAACGCATAGCGTAGCTTGAAAGGAAAGTTAATTTCCAGGGGTCATAAGGAAAGAAAGAAATCAGAGCCAGAACTAGGATGAGTGTCTCAGGTTTCACACAAAATGTTCCACATCCAGGGAAACTCCTCCATCCTGGGCAACCAGGGTAATTGGCCATCTTTGCCCAATGCAGTACATAAGGGGAAGCAAACATGCAATGAACTTGCATGTGGTTCAGGCCACATATGGGCTCTAGGGACTGGGTCTCTAGCACTTTTAATTCTCTTATTAGTCCCAATTACTTGTTGGTTATCTTGGATTTCTATTATGTAAATAATAGAAATTGTCTGCAGATGAGCGGTTGCCTGTTTTGGACTTTCGAAGTCATTTCATTCTCTTATATAACTTCTTTGGCTAGATCCTCCAGTATTGTATTAAATAGTAGCTGTGATAACAAGTATCATTGCCTCGCTCTTGACCTTAAAGGGAATGCTTCTAAATTTTCTCCATTAAATATTTTATTTTGGTTTACTTTTATAAAGTTAGGGGAGTTCCCTTCCATTTCTAGTGTACTGAGCCCTTTAAATCTGAAATCATTGTTGATATCTAACAATTGCTTTCTTCTATACCTTTTCAGAAAATTGTGTAATTTTTCTCCTTTGTTCCATTAATGCAATTATACTCCTGCACATTCCAGCAGTAAAACATTGCTTGAACTCCTCAGAATAAAGTCTACTAGTACATTGTGAGTTTGTAGATGATAGATAGATAGACAGATAGATAGATTGATAGCCAATAGACTTGTAAGATTTTTCTATCTATGTCCTTAAGTTAAATTGGCCTCTATCACTTTTTTCTTGCACTACCTTTGGCTGGTTGTGATACCTGTACTATATTAGTTTCACAAACATGATGAGCACCTTTTTCTGTTCTTCTACCTTGTAGAACAACATAAATAAGATTGGGATTATTTGTTCTGAAATTTCAGTAAAATTCAACTGAAAAATTTGGGGTCTGACCCTAAGAAAAAGTAGGAGAAAATAAAGATTGCAAACAGCCTTTACCCTAACCACTCCACCATACATAGGCCCTATCTTGTACAATGCAGTATGTAAGGGGAAGCAGACATGCACTGGCCTTGCCCAAAGATCTTTGATAAACTTTTACTTGTTAGACTTTTAGACTTTTCATTGCTAAGTTTGACACCAAGTTCCATGAACTCCTCTGTCATTCTTTTGGCATTGGCAAAGGGGAATGTTGGGGAGGGAGCCATATATAATAACTTGGTTTGCCAAATATGACAACTTCTGTTCAATATGACCTGGTTTGCTGATTTAAAGGAACTTTGCAAGAGGAAACACAGGCCTTTAAAATTTTTGTCAATTGCCTTCATTTGCTCTTACATCACATTCAGACACTCTTAGCCTTTCCAATGTCATCTCTCTTTCCTGTTTGCTCAAAATTCCTTGGAACTTTGGGAAATATTTCCCTGCTCTACCCACCACAAAGAATATTAGGCACCTCTCCTCTGTGTTCCCACAAGTAGTTATCTGTTTATAAGTCTAAGGCACTGTTGACAAATATCTGCCTCATTAGATTGCAAACTTCTTAAGAGGGACTGTGGTTGTTTATTTCTACCCACTCCCAGTATTTAACACAGTGTCTAACATAGAGTAGGAGGCTGTTAAATTGTGTTGAATCATTCACATAATTACAGAGAATGTTATAAACTAATAGGATCTCATAACAACCTAACATATACTGTCTTGACTATTTTTAGAGAACTTTCCTGTAGGAGAAGATAATTTTTTTTTTCTTATCATTTGGGCATGTTTTTAAAGATTCTGTAGAAACTATTTCTAATAAAAAGAATTCAGATTCTGGTTTGATGCACAAAACAGAAGTCAGCTTTATTTCATGTTTAAAAGTAAATATGACAAAAGTAAGAATCGATTTTTAACTTTCCAAAAATGCTCCATCAGGTCTGGATGGCTGAGACAGTCCCCTCTGCTCTGGATAGCTTATGTTGTCTTGAGGGGAAAATAATACGCTGGGAGAAAAGTAAAGTAGGGTTAAACGACTTGAAAGGACTAGTATTCACACAGCATACTTTGTAATAAAAGGAAGTCCCTGCAACAAAATTATCTAATTCTATATAGTGAATGTTACGATTAACTTATGTATTTTCGGTTTGCCAGTACATCATCTTCTGTTACTGTGAGGCATACATATAAAATAGACTACAGCAAATATCATTACAGAGATAATTTCTGAATAACAAAATTAACTTCCATGTCCCAGTGAATGGTCCACAGAAACCAAGTTTTGTTAGTCTAGTTATCATGTTATATATGTGTATATGTATGTGTGTGTGTGCATGTATACACATGCACACATGTATTGTATTAAATTAATACAAGGTAATATATTCATATGAATGATAATACACAGGCATCATTATAGTAATATATATTTATGTGTTACCTTAAATAGACAATATGTATCAAATATACATATATGATCCCTTATATAAAGATTTTCTTTTGCTTCCTCCGAGATAAATCGCTTTTCCTATTCATCAAATCAGCCTTCTCATTTTGAAGACTGGTGAAATGAGGCCCAAGAAAATTAAAGAACTTGCTCAAGCATACACTGTAAATAATGGCAGAACTGGGACTAAAGCCAGAGTCTCCTGACACTGAATTCAATGGTGTGTTATTCCTTTCCTTTGCTTCTTTGTAACTTAATACCTTAAATTTGGGTAGTGCATTGCAATTTTCAAAACATTTTCACATACAGTATATTGTTTAAGTTACACAAGAAAATCTAAGATGATGGTATCAAGGAACTGAAAGGTTAATTTCCTTGGCCATGGAAGCACTACTATTTAATGACCTGGGTCTCCTTACCCCAGTCCCTGAGGTACACCTTTGTTTCTCACCAACCATTTCATTCTTACTTGGCCCCACACAGTTATTTTGGAAGGAAGAGACCCAGGTCAAGGCTAGGAATCTGTAAGCCTGTACAAGTGTGACCTGTACAGGTAGTCCCTAGTATATGATTCTGGGATCCCTCTCTCAACTTCTTCTAACACTATGTGGTGCAGGTGAGACTAAGAGCTAAGATCCAGGATTCAATCTCAGTTCTGTCAGACTCGTAAGGCCATGCTCCTTCCCCTGGATATGTGATATGGCCACGTATGAGGACTATGGCCTTTATCAAGGGTGTCTATCAGCGAGCCATAGAGTCAGAGTGGGCAGATTCAACTTCTTTGCTCCCTCTGAAAAGCTGACCTGTTTATACCATATAAGGTGGCACCAAAACAATTGGCACATTTCTTACTCATTTTCCTGCTATCTAAATATCCCTAGTGATAAATATTTGTTCAGAAGCTGACCCTCTTGTGATCCAAACATTTGTGTGGTCAAAAAAAAAATGTGTCACTCAAACCAAGATGATCATAGAAATATAAAGCTAAGAAGAATCAGAGATTGGGCACTTCAACTTTATATCCTATTGTCAATTACCTTTGGTCTCTTGCTACTCTTCGCCATCTTTCTCATCTCTTCCTGCTGCTTTCTGTAACATTTCAGTCTTCCTCCTTCGCACATTTCTTGGTTTCTTCAAACTCTTTTCACCTCTTTTGACCCTGCTTTGTAAATTGGCCCATTTCCTGTAACATAAAAGTTCAAGCGAAACCTTATTTCTCATTAGTGATAGAGTAACAATGGGAGTGTTATAAGCAAAAGGATATTTGCCCAGATGACTACACTTTCCCACCTGGTATTTTTAACTCACCAGATTTAATAAATCTGATAGAAATTGTTCCACTTCGCTTGCTCATATGGATCATGGTAGCCATCATTATTATTCTCTATACAGTCATTTTGATTATGTGACCTTCCATAACAGAAATGCTCTCCTACTTCCCTGTGCTGACATCAGTGTTACCCACTCTTTAACACCCAGTTTAGAAATCATCTTGTCTTGGAAGCCATCTCTTCCACTCCTAGTTTAGAGGGATTCCTTCCTCCTATGAACTTCAAATCTAAATAGTAATAGCTCACATTATATTAGCATTTACAATTTTCAAAGCACTTTCACTTACTACTGTTGTCGTTGGGTATACAACTCGTACCTCCTTGTGTTTGTGTGGATCGTTCGTAAAGAGGCACTTGAGAGGCTGCCACATGCCAAGAACTTCACTAAGTGCTTTATACACTTTATCTCATTTAATCCTCACAACAGCCCTAGAAGGTGGATAGTGTGTTTCCTATTTTGCAAATGATTAAACTGGGGCTTAAAGAGGTAAAATAATTCACTCGAGGTCACAGATCGCTAGTGATAGAGATGCTGAATTTAAACATAGATCTGTTTGACTCTAACATACAAGCTTTTTGCATTAGACCACTTTGCACTGTGAATGAATAATGGCTAACAGCAGGTATGATAGACTTCCTATGTGCCGAGGCCTGTACATAAGCCCTTCATGTGCATGATCTCATTTAATCTTCATAATGACTTGATGAGGCAGGTACTATTTCTATCATTTTCATTTTTCATGTGGAGAAACTGAGGCACAAAAAAGGGAAAGTAACTTGCCGAGGTCATCAAACTACTCAGTAGAAGAGCCAGGATTCAAATCCAGACCTATCTAAATCTAAAGTACAATCTCTCTCCTACTACACTACACTAACCTGTCTCATTCTCCCCTCAAAGCTTGTAAATTCGTTCAGACTGGAACCTTGCCTTATCACTTTTTATATCCCACAGAGGAAATAAAAATGTGAGTTGATTTTATAAGAAATGTTAGTTGATTTTTATGCTTATAGGGCTTTTACTTTCTAAAGAACTTAATGTAATCCAAGAAGAAAAAAAATAGTAATGTTGATGGCAGAGGTAAGAAGGAAAATCCAAAGACAGAAAAAAGAGAGAAGATTTGCATACAATATTATGAAGAAGTAATGACATAATTAATCCTTTCCTTATCTCATATTAGGTAGCATACAGAAGAAGATACCGGGATCCTGTAAGTGCTACTTAGCTATACAGAAAAACAAGGTCCTGCGCATGTAAGTCCTAGAGATAGATAAGTCTGCCTTTGAAATTATGACTTTGAAGATGGTTACTAACTTTTCTCCCCTAAAACTATATTACTAGGTTGACACTGAGCTCCACTAGGTAAGAAAGATGTGGAGCAAAGAAACAAATTTTTTCCCAGTTAATCATAAAAATGTCTCCAGGCATAAATGAAATGGTGAGGGCCAAAAATATATTTATGATTTATCTATGGCCTGTTTATGTTGCCAGGTTGTGAACTGCAGCCTCAAAAAAATAATAACTGAAACAACTACACAGTTCTCAGTCCCTTGGGGCCAGATGTGTTTGAGACTGGAACCTTACCTTATCACTTTTCTAAAAAGGTAATATAACATGATATACTGAATATTACATGACATTCCCATGGGGTCTGGGGCAGCATCTCATAATCAAACACAGTAACATTTCTGCAACAAAATATATAAACATTCACTTTAGGAATTAAATAATGACCAGAAGGAATCTCAGTCCAGGTTTATTGCAAAATGAGTACAACAAAGTTTTTAGGTTTGGAGAAATGTTTGAATTTCCGGATTTTAGAGAAATTGGGAACTTACGCTTTCTTCTAATGCTGTGACGTCCATATATCCTACTTTATATAATTAAAATAACTATGTTTTCTTTATCCACAGATTTTATTTTAAATTTAGTCATGTACATTTTACCTTAATTAACAACAAAAAAGCAAGATGGCCTTATTACTTCAAAACTGGCCTAGATTTCAGAGGACTTGGTTTTGGTTCAGCCTCATCACTAACTGGCTATATGACTAACATTTACTACTGAGATCCATGGTTAGATATTCTAATATCTAATGAAAATGCCCAATAGAGATAGTAGGAGTGAAATGATTTTTCCACTGTCCTAGAGGTGGTTTTCTTCTTTTCACATAACGTGTCATATATCATGGCTATCATATTCACACTGAAAAGTACAGGTCAATTTCTTGCATACTCATTCACTCACTAATGCATTTCCTCATTTATTAAATAAACATTATTCCAAATACTAGAGACATAAACATGAATAAGATATGGGACCTGTCTTTGAGGAGCTTAAAATTTAGAAAGGAAGGTAGTTATATAGACTAACAATTATATTACATTGAGATAAGTTCAAGTAGAGGTGATCAGAGATTGGTAGAAGGCAGAAAAGAAGAAGCCTGACCCAATGTGGTCAAGAGAATTGGAGAAAGCTTCCTAGAAGAGGTGACATCTAAGATGAGGCCTGCAGCCTGAGTGGAATGAGCCAGATAAAGAAAAGTGGAAGTGGGGAGATGCGCAAGAGCATTTCAGTCAGCAGATACACTTTATGAGGGTCAGAGTGACAAGGCGGCATGTGGTTTGTAAACATCAAGTAGAGTGGCATGGCTGGAAATGTTAAATGAGCCCACTGGAAATTTCTAATGACAGAGTTCCACATAGTTGTGGGACAGTTTTTTTCTTCTAGGAATTCCCAGGAGCCTAGATCTAAGAGCAGAGAAGTGGTATGGATTCAATTTCAATGAAACAAGGGGACTGGAAGCAAGAATGGATTAAAAAACTAGACAATGGGATCCAGGCTGAATTTAAGAAGCAGATGATGTTAAAAAGATGGCAGACCAGGAGAAATGAGAGCGTTAAAGAGGCTGAAGACCTCAATGAGTTAAAGAACAGATGCAGCAAAAATAAAGCAAGAAAAAGGCTAGAGGACAAGGAACCTATGGTCAAAGAGTAGGATTTTGAACTTTAAGATTTCAGAGATTCAGATGTTCAATTTTTAGTGAATAACAATGTTCAACATGAGGGCATGAAACTGGGTGGCCAGTGATGAGTAAAGGGGCAATTCATCAGAATTGAATACATCAGGAAACTTTGAGGCTAGGGACTCAAAGAAACAAAAACATGTATCATTGAAGGAATTTGTTGGATGTTTTGGAACCTTACGAGCTTAACATACCTGATCAGAAAGATAGAAATGGCATGAGGATAGAGCAAGATGGCAGAATAGAAGACTCTACCAATTGTCTCCACTCTACCCCGCCATGAGAACACCAAATTTAACAACTACACAGAAAAAAAAGTACCTTCATAAAAAACAAAAATCAGGGCAGCACTCACAGTACCTGGTTTTAACTTTATATAGCTGAAAGAAGTACTGAAAAGAGTAGGAAAGACAGTATTGAATTGCCAATGCCACCTCCCCTCTATCCCCCAGCAGTGGCTGCATAGCACAGGAGGAGAACCTGTACACTTGGGAGAGGAAGAGCGCAGCAATTGTGAGACATTACATTGAACTCAGAGCTGCCCTGTCAAAGCAGAAAACAAAACCAGGCTGAACTCAGCTGATCCCTACTCACAGAGGGAGTATTTAAACCAGCTTTAGCCAGAGGGGAACCATCCATCCCAGTGGTCGGAAACTGAATCTAGCAAACCTTGCCACTGTGGGCCACAAGTTCACTTGGGCCCTCAAATAAACTTGAAAGGCAGTCTAGGCCACAAGGACTGCAATTCTTAGGTGAGTCATAGTGCTGACTTGGGTTAAGAGGCAGTAGATTTGGGAGGCACAAAACCTACTGACACACTAGCCAGGGTGGCTAAGGGAACGCTGGTGCCACCTCTCTCCTAATTCCAGGCTGCAAAACTCATAGCTCCAAAAGAGGCTCCTTCCATCTGCTTCAGGAGAGGAGAGGGAAGAGTAAAGAGGACTTTGCCTTACATCTTGGATATCAGCTCAGCCACAGTAAGAAAGGGCACCAGTCAGAGTCAAAAGGTCCCCTTTTCAGGCCCTACCTCACAGATGACAGTTCTAGCTACACTCTGAACCAGGAAAGAATGTACTGCCTTAAAAGAAAGGATCCAGTCCTGGCAGGACCTGCTGACTGAAAAGCCTTTGGGCCCTGAATAACAAGCAGTGATATCTAGGTAATATGCTGTGGACCTTGGGTAAGACTTTGAGACTTGCTGAATTCAGGTATGACTCAGCACATCCTCAGCTGTGCTGGCTACAGGGAGAAACTCTTTCTGCTTGAAAAAAACAGTAGGAAAAGTAAAGGGAACCTTTTCTTGAACCTTATATATCAGCATAGAGACAAGGGAGTAGAGCCCCATGTGGACTTTTAGGGTACCCAATCCCAGGCCTTGGCTCTTGGATGGCATTTCTAGACCTGCCCTGGGCCAGAGGGGAGCCCACTGCCCTGAAAGCTGGTGAGTCCCAAGCCAGGTAACATTCACCACTAACTGATAGAAGAGCCCTTGGGCTTTAAGGGAGCATTGGCAGTACTCCCAGTGGGCCTGCAGTGATGGTTTCTACAGGGTAGCGCTCCTCTGCCTGTAGAAAGGGAAAGAAACAGTGGAAAGAACTGCATCTTGTGGTGAATGCCAGATCAACTGCAGTACAATAGGACACTAGGCATATTCCTAAGGTTTGACTCTAGTTCTTGGCTCCTGGAAGGTACCTCAGGACATGCCTGGAGCCTGTAGGAACTCACCACCCTAAAGAAAAGGATACAAGGCTGGCTGGCTTTGCCACCTGCTGTCTGTACAGCCCTAGTGCCTTGAGCAAACATAAGCGGTAGTCAGGTAGTGATTACAG